AATTAATTTTAAAATTAAATATATAAACAAGAGAAATTTGTATAAACTAAAATTATTTTATTTTTTATAAAATAAAATCATAAAATAAATTTATAATTAATTATATATTATTTATATATAAATGAAATAAAATAAATATAATTTAAATAATATATATTTAAATATAATTTAATAAAAAAAAAATTATTATAATATTATATAAATTTGTATAAAAATAAATATATATAAAAAATATATGTATAAATTTATATATATATATATTATTTTATTTGAGTTTTTTATGTCTATTTTTTTTATTTTTTTAATATAATTAATTATAATTAAAAACATATATTTGAGTAAAAGAATCTTAATTAGATTAATTATTTTTAAAATCTTAATTTAATTGTACAAATGAATTATATTTTTAATATAAATAATTTCTTTATCAAAAATAAATTACAATTTAAAAACGAAAATTTCGCATTTTTTAGTTTTTTTAAAAAAGTCATTTATTTTCAGCAATTGGTAATTCAGAATCCATTATATCATTAATACTTTCTTAATTTTTTTCTTCTTTCTCCCATTTAATATTTCAATTATGAAATTATGATTTGTATAAACGCATTTATCAGCAGCAATTTTCATGCTTTTTAAAGCAATTTCTTAAGCAGTTAAACCTTCTATATCAATTAAAGCCCTTGCAGCACCTTATTTATTTTTTTAATAAAAAATTATATAAATATCTATTTATTAATAAAATAGATTCAGCAAAAACTCCTCCACTTCCAATTCCAATAACATCTTAAATTTCTAAAACCTTAATATTTTTATCATAAAAATTAAAAATTATTTACATTTCCAGTACCATCGATTTCTACAATTAAATCTTTATCACAAACAAGCATTGTAGCTTCTAAATGTCTTAAATATTTTCCTTAAAAAAATAATTAATAAATAAAACTAATATATTATATATTTATAATACCTGTTCTCCATTATTTAGCATAAGTAATACAAGCTTTTAATGTTGGTTATTTTGTCATTATATTTTCTAATCCTTCTATTAATGTAAATGCATCAGCTAAACTAACCTATTATATATATATATATATATATATATATATATATATATATATATATTATTAATATATTTAATTTTTATTTTATCTAGAACCTGCAAATCCGCATACTGAATTATTTGTCATTTTTCTGATTTTTCTGCCATCAGATTTTACTCTGACTGAACCTTAGGTTACTTATCCATCACCAATTAAGCATATTTCATTATTTTTTTAATTGCTAATATTGTTGTATGTCTCCATTTTTAATCACTTGAAAATTTTTATATCAATTCGTTTTTTTGTATGTTGGACTTTGTAAAAAAATTTTTAAAGAATTATTTAAACATTCTTTTTTTTGGGTATATATTACTTTTATTTTATAAAAAAATTAGATTTTTTTTTTTATTAGAAAAAAATAAAATAAAATAAAAATAAAAATAAATATTAAAATAAATTAACTTTGATTATTAAAAATTTAAATAAATAATTGTAAAATTATAAAAAAAATGAACTATATTATTATTTTTTATTTTTAAATAGCTAATTTAATCTAATTTTAAATTTTTATTAATATTATTTTAATTATTTTAATATTAAATATGGAATAATATTTTTGATTTTGATTTTTAAATATATAAAAATTTACCAAAAAATTTTTATGAATTTATTTAATCTAAATTAATGTAAACTAATTAAAAAATAAATAAAATTAAAATTTATACTTTAGTTTAGTTATTTTTTATTTATAAAATATATTAAATTTATATAATAATATATAATTCAAGTGTATTTTTAATAAAATAATTATTAAAAAAAACAAATGAATAAAATAAATTAAACTAATTTCAAAACCATAAGTTTATATCTAAACAAAATCACATAAATATATCAAACAATAAAAAAATCTAATATTTAAATAAAATAATATTAACCGAAAAATAATATTTTAAAGCCGAATAATAAAAATAAGAAAAAACTAAAAATTTTAAATAAAGAAAATCTAATAAAAAATTTAAAGTAAAATATAACTGCAATACATTATATATTTTAAAGAAAAATTAAATTATTATTTTTAAATAACTTATCCAGAACAGATTTCTTATAAATAAAATTAATTATTTCTTAAAAAAAAAAATTCTGTTTATTAAAAAGAAATTAATTTAAAAAAAATAAAAATATTTTTTTAAAATAAAAACTATTAATTTTATTGAGAAAAATATTATTTATTACAAAAAAGCATTTATTTAATTAAGAGAAATAATTATTTAAATCAAAAAAGATATTTTATAAAATGACTTCTAATATAAATAAAAAAAAAATTAAATTTAAATAAAAAAAAACCATTAAATATAAAAATACTGTCTTAAATAACTAAAGAAATAAATATAAAAAGTTAATAAAAAATTTATTTAAAGAACAAATAATTAAGAAATTGAAAAAAATGAATACTTTAACAATTCCTTTTAGAAAAATATAGTTCTTTTTTTTTAAAAAAAATATTAAATATAAAATAATTCTTAAATTAAAATAGTTAAGGCAAATTAATAATTTATAATAAAAAAGATATAGCATTATATTTTTTTTTTAATAATAAATATTATTTTATTTTATTTTTTCATTTAATATAATTATTATTTTTTATTTATTATATGCTCTAATTTTCTTATATGCTAATTAAATATATTATTTATTCTGAAAATATATAAATTTGATTAACGGTAAGAGTTTAATTTTTATTAAAAGAATATAAATAAAATTTTAAGAAATGTTTTTATTTATTTTTTTAATAAATTTAAAAATTTTTAATTTTAATAATTTAAAAATTTTTAATTTTAATAATTTAAAAATATAATCAATCTTTTAATTTTATAAAGTTTTCATTTTCTTATTTTTAAAATTTAACTTAAAAACAACAATTGGTTTAAATTTTTTAATTTAAATATTATTTGAATAAAAAATATAAATACTAATAAATAAAAAAATTGATAAATTATCATATTCATAGTCCAGTGAATTAGTTATTATTTTCCTATAGAAACTTTTATGTTTTTTTTATGCTTTTTTTTAATACTATATATCATTTATTTTTTTGTTTATTAATATTCTTATATTGGAAAAGCTTAACTTTTCTCTAAATTAGGAGGAAAAGTATCAATTAAAAAAGATGTTAATAAAATATTTTGAGATTGTATATTTAAATGTTTTCTATGTGCTTATAAAATATAATAGTTTATTTTTTTATTATAATTAAATTATTTAATTAATATTAAAATTTTTGTATATTTTATAAAATAATACGTTATATATAGATTCTAAATCAAATTATAAAAAAAATACATTTTATAAATCATTAAAAAACATATTAATTATTTATTTATTTTTAAATATTTTAAAAAATGATTTTATAATAATTTTAATTCAAAAAATAAAAATTATAATTTCATTTCATCTATAAAAATGCTTAATTTAATAAATAATTATTAAAAAAATCATAAAAAAATATATAATAAATAAATTAATTTATAATCAATTTTAAAAAATATTCATATATATGCTTTAATTATGTATTTTAAAATTACTATTTTAAGGATTTTCTTTATTTTGAATTATTTTAGATGTACTTTAGCTTTAAAAATTATTATTAGTAAAGTTTCCTTAAATTTTAATAATTTATTCATATTCTTTTTTACTCATTCTATTTTTATTTTAACTATCTTCAATCTATAAATTAAAATTGGATTTTGTTTATATTCCTTATTTAATTAGTCCTTTTTCATCTTTAAAAACTACTCCTGCTTAAGGTATAATATTTTTTGCGATATCTTAAGTATTAAATTATTTAAAGAAGTTATAATTAGTATCTTCTTTTTAATTTTTTTTATATTTTTTTAATTATCATTTATAATCACTGGTTTTTCTATTTTTTTTTGTCATTTTATTGAACTATATTATTAGTGTCGATAATTTTATAACTATTTACATTTTTATTATTTATACACGAGTATATATTAAATATTTATATTTACTTTATTTTATAATTTTAATTTTAATTAAATTATATAGCTTTTTTATTTTATACTATTATTTTTCCATTATAATCATAAGTAATTTAATTTCCTTTTATTATTTTTTTTATTTACTATTTCTGTTCTTTTAATATCTTTTTTTATCAGTTTAAAATATAAAAATAATTATTTTAACCTGATCCTCTTTTAATTCTTATATTTTTAATTCTCTTTATTTATTTTTTTTCTGAATTTTAAGTTTCCTTAATTCGTCATCTATTTTATATATAAATAAAATAAATAAATATAAAATTTATAATATATAAATTTTAAAATAAATTAACCTTTCTCTTAATTTTCATCTTTTGGTGGCTTTGCGAGTGCTATAGTTTTATTAGATTTCTATTTTTTTAAATATAATAAAATAAAAAGCAAAAAAATATATTTATTACCATTAAGTTGATAAAATATGTGTTTATTTTGATTTTTTTAAAAAAAGTAAAATAATTAATTAATAGCTTTTATTATTTTATATTGTTATATATGTTAAAAAAAAATATTTTAATATAAAATTAAATATCTATAAATTAGTAATAGTTATGAACATTAAAACTTTATTATAAATTTAAGGTTTATTTTCTAATTTAAAATAAACAATTTTATTTTTAGTTTTTAAAGAAAATTAATATATATTATTTAATATATTTCAAATTCATATTAATTATATATAATAAATGGAATAATACCAAAATTCAAATTCATAATCTTAATTTAAAAAATAGAATTAGTGGCCTTAAACAATACCAAATACAAAAGAATAATAACTAGAATAAAATTAAAAATTACTAAATGAATTTTAAACCCAAAAATTAAAATCACTTAAAGTTGAGGAAATAAAATATAAAGATAACTCAAAATATATAGGGCAAACAAATTCCAATTAAAAAAGAAATGGATTAGGAGTATATAAGTTAATAATAATAATAAAAAAAAAATTATTTAATACAAATTATATATAAAATGTTTATAAACTTTATTTAGTTTTAATAATTAAGATACATATTTTGGAGAATGGAAAGATGATTTATTTAATGGAAATGGAACATTAATATATTAGATAGGTGATAGATATGAAGGTTAATTTTTGAACTAATGTAAACATGGATAAGGAATGTATATTTTTATAAAATTTAAATTATTTAATAATTTTTTTAAAAATATAAAAAAGATATTATTATATAAATTTAAATTCATATAAAGGAGAATGGAAAAATGATTAAAAAGATGGATATGGAACATATATTTATAATTAAAAATCCGAAAAATATGAAGGATATTGGAAAAATGGAGAAAGACATGGTATTGGAATATATTTTTACAGTACAGGAGAAAAATATGAAGGCGAGTATTATATATATATATTTTTAATTTTAATTAAAAATAAAATACTTATAAATTAAAAGATGGGAAAACGGAGTTAGAAGTGGAAGAGGAAAATTTAATTATTTAGATGCTGTTTATGAAGGTTTTTGGAAAGAAGATTTACCTGAATAGAACGGGAAAATAGAATATAATAATGGTGATAAATATATAGGAGATGTAAATCTAATTTTTTAATATTTATTTTTATTTTTATAGATTAATTTTATAATAAAAGTTGGCTTTAGGAAAAAGAGATGGAAAAGGAATATATTCATATAAAAATGGCGATTAATATAAAGGAATTTATCATGAAAATAAAAAAAGTAAAAATGGAACTTATGAAGGATAAAAATTTAATTATACAGGAAATTTCTATGATGGATTGAGATCTGGTAAAGGAAAATATTAAAGTAAATAAGGAGATGAATATTTTGGCGGTTTTCTAAATGATTAATTTAATGGAAATGGAGTACTTAATTTGAAAAATGGAGAAAAATATGAAGGATAGTTTAAAGATGGATAAAAATATGGAAGTGGAAAATATTATTTCTAAAATAAAGATAATTATGAAGGATTCTGGGTTGAAGGAAAAAGATCAGGAAATGGAGTTTATTAATGGAATAATGGAGAAAAATATAATGGATAATGGTAAAATGATAAAATGAATGGATTTGGAGTATTATTTCTTATATTTTATCGTTTGTTTTATATTATTTTATTTAGGAATTTTATAAAAATAATGAGTCTTTGTATAGAGGAGAAATGGAAAATGATAAAGCTTTATGATTTTTTATGTATATTAATTATGTTTATTTTATTTTTTGTACTTTTTGTTTTTTTTTGTTTTTTTGTTTTTAAGTTTTGTTATATTATTTATTTAATTTTATATCATAGAAATATTAAATGTAGTTTGTTTGAATTTATTTATCATTTAAATTAAATAATAGTTGTTATAAAAAAAAAATACACATTTTTTTTTAATAAATAATAAAAATAAAAATAAAAAATATATAATAAAATGCATTCTTCAAAATATGAATAGTAATATATTCATTAAAATATAAACAATGAAAGTAATTAAATTAGTAATTTAACAAATGAAAGTATAGATAGCAAAGATACATAATGTATTTTTTTTTAATTATTTATATATTAAAATAAATATATATTGGTACTAGCTTTTATAAATATATATATTTATATATAGATATTATATAGAATAAAATAAATTCATCATTTAATACTATGAATTTTCATAGCAATACATAAGATATATGTAATATAAAATAAAAAAAATATTATTATAAAAGTAATTTAAAAATTATAAAAATTAAGCTGAAGTTGATATTAAATAAAATTTTATTGATTATAAAGAAATTGTATATACAAATTAAAGTAGTAATATAAATATTTAATGCGAATAAAATAATTAATTATAGACTGAAATAAAATGTCTAAATTAAATTATAAATTAAAAGGATGTTTAAAATAATTATTTAAACTAAACTATAGTTTAGAAAGTAATTTTTAAAAAAAATTATATTTTTGTTATTTGAAATATATAAATATTAAAAGTAATATGAAATATAACAATTCAAGAAAAACAATAATTAACTTATATAAGAAAATAGAGAATTAAAAAATAAATTAAATGATATATAAAATAAAATTTATAATTAATTATAAGAAATAAATATAAATGTACAAACATAAAAGACAGAAGTAAAATAAAAAAATAAAAATAATTATATAAAAAATATAAATATAAATATAAATATAAATTTATATTTATATTTATATATATATATATATATTATTTTATATATATTTTAATTAACAAATATTTTTTATAAAAGAATTTAAATATCAATAATATTATTTCTTCTAAATTAAAAGATTAATAACTGCAAATAGAAATATTAAAAAAGCAATTATTAGTAAAAGGTATCATCTTAATATATTTTATTTATATTTTAGAAATTTAATATAAAGAATTTTTTTTAAAAAATATTAACTAATTAGACTTTTTATACTAAAATGTTTCTCATAATAATGTTTTATAAAATTTAAATTTTAATAATACATTTGATTAATCTAAGCTACATCAAGAATTTGAATAAGTAAAGAAAGATATAAAATATTCAACAATGAATAACATAAATTCATTCTTAAAAGATGACGTAAAACCAGTAGATTTACTTAGTACTGCTTCTTATAGAAATAATAAAAATAACATTAGCACAAATAATAACAGTCAAAGTTTAAATAATTACAGTAAAGGATAAAAATAATAGCAATCACCTTATAATTAAAGCAAACAAATGAATAATATATCGAATTTGCTATTTAATAATAATTCAAGCTGCTTAATTGTTTAAAGTAAAAAAACAAAAAAGGCATTATAAAATAAAATAATTATAAACAAATACACTCAAATATACCTAAAAAATAAGAAATAAGAAATTAATATAATTTTAGATTAAATAATTAGAATAAAAATAAAATAGCTTAAAGTACATAAAAAAAAAATTCTCCTTAAAAAATAAATTAACTAGAAAATACGAATAGTATAAAAAAGAAAATAATTGAGTCAAAATATTATTAATATTTTTAATTATTTTAAAATATTAGAAATAATAATATAAATATAAATAAGAATTAAAATTATAACCAAAAATAAAAAATATGCAAATAATAATCGAAATCACATCATATCCCTTCTTCTAAACATCATTCTTATATACCAAATAAGACTTCGTATTTATAAGAAGTTTTAAATTTTGAAAATAAAGATCTAAAAGAATATACTTTGGACACTTAAGTTTTTTAAAATAATTTGCCTTAAGAAGACTATAATATTTTGCCTTAAGAAGACTATAATAATTTGCCTTAAGAAGACTAAAATAATTAGCCTTAAGAAGATTATAATAATTTTTTTTTGTAGAAATAAGAGATGGAAAAACCTCAAAAATTTATCAATAATACTCCTTTATAAGGAATTTTAAAAAACAAAAAAATTCAAGAATAAAATTATTTGGATATTTGTAAATAAAATAATAAAAAAAATTACTTTTTTAATAAAACACTTAACTTTTCGTGTACTTAGGATAAATAAAAAGAAAATAATGGAAGTTAGACTATTAGTGCTTAGAGAAAAAATAAAGAAAATATTTTAATTAAAACATAAAATTATATAAATAAAGAAAATTATATTAAAAAAAAATTAAATTTATATTAAGATAATATTAATTTTTCAAATAAAAATAGTAAAAAATCTATCTTTTAGAATAAAAATTTAAGTTTGGTTTCTACTTATACAGAAAAAAATAATAAAAAAAATCTTTAAAATCTTAATATAGATGATATTAAGACTAAAAATTTATCTAATACTACAAAGTTAAATTTTTAGTATGAAAATAAATATTAATTTTGAATATTTTTGTTTAAATTTTTAAATATAATTTTTCTACTTACTTATATTTTCTCAATATAACTTTATAAAGTCTTTTATTTTTATATATATATTTATTTGTATATTCGAATAAAAAATTATTATTTTATTTTTTATAACAAAAATGTTTTTTATTAATACTCAAAATGCTTTTTTGCTATTATATTTAATAGTTTTTTAATTAATATTATAATAAAAACATATTTATTTAAGTTTAAAATTAAAAGAAAGAATAAATAAGAGTTAATTTAAATGTCTTTTTACTAAATTAAAGAATAAAAAATTTCTATAATTATATTATAAATAATAAAATAATTAATATTTTTAAACATTTATGATATTTTGTTTATTAATAATAATTAAATTTAAATATATAATAAATATTTAAAAAAAAAAAATTAAATAAAAATATACATTTTATACATAATTTTTTTTAAAAAAATAAAATGAAATATTTTCTATTTATATTTTTAATATCCAATTCTATATGTAATTTAAGTGATTATGATAAAAAAAAGATAAGAGAAACTTGGGAAAGTGGAGACCAAGAGACTTTATAAGTATTAAAAGATTTAAAAATGTCTAGATTCAAAAACATTCAAATATACGATATAAAGAGCCAAATAAGTAAAATGTTAAAGTCATTAGAATAACATGAAAAAGTTGAGGAATCAACTTTATAGTAACAAACTAAAATATGTGATTAATAAAAATAATAACGTTTAAGTAATTAATTATATTTATAAGAAGTGAAAGCTAATAATAATGATTTTTCAAATTAAAATAATCAAATATATTAACATTTGAAATAATAAGTTGATATAAATTAACCAATAATAGACTAAAAGCAAAGTTCTATAAATAAATTAGGTAAAATAAAAGATTAATATGTGAGTATAATTGATGAAATAATAAATAAGAAATAAAAAGATCTTCTCTTTTTAAATAAAATTGTGTAAACTTAAACTGAAAATAATTTAAAAGAACTCTAAAACTTAGTTAATAATAAAGAAATTTTTATTTCTTAAAAAAAAACAAATCCGTATTAATTAATACTTAAAGGATTAGAAAAAGTAATTCAAGGAAATGACCCGAGCTAAATGAATACTTTAAATGAAATTGTTAAATTAATGGAATAAGATATTGATTCTGTAATATAATATTATTTATAATATAAAGGTATGATTGAAAATAATTTTAAGCTTTAACAAAGTATAATTTAAAATGAAATTGAATAAATTTAGTAAGAAATTTAAATAACTAATAATTCTATTAGTAATTATGAAGATATCTTTGACACTTAATAAAGTAAAAAATCTGTATAATTTTAATAAATTGAAGATTCGTAATCTTAATAATAAAAATTATGTGAATAATAATTATTCTAGTTAAGATAAGTTACTATTGCTATTAGATCTAAAATTATTTTTTATGAAACATTACTAGAGCAATTAAATACTGAAGAAAAAAATGTTATTGAATACATTATGGAACTAAAATGATATAGTTTTAAATATATTTATTTTAAATTTATTTTTTTATATTTGTTTTTTATAATTAAAAAAAAAAAAAAACAATTTTTTTATTTTTTTTTTTTAATAGTTTATAATTTATTTTTTATTTCAAAAATTTCAATAAAAAAAATTGTTTTTTTCTTAAATTATCCAGTTTCTAAATTACTTTAATTTTTTTTTTTAAAAAAAATATATATTTAAATAAGTTTAAGGAAAATATTATACATTTAATTAATATTCATCACTTTATTATTCATTATTTTATTTATTTTCATCATGATCATATTTATTATGATATAATTAAATATCATAAGAAAGTACAATACTAGAATAAGCTGTACCATACATATTCATATAAAAAATAGAAATAATAAAAGTAATAATTGTAAAAAACTAAAAAAAAAAAAAATTTTTTTTTTTTAGATATTATGTATTACAAATGTTGGAAAAGGCAAAGACGATATATTTTCATTATTAAGTATAAATATATTCATGTAAAATAAGCATGAACATAAAATACAAACAGTTAAAGTACCTTGATTTTCAAACAATTCACCTCCATCTAATAATTCCTCAAAATAAGAGTTTTTATCAATCAAAAATTATTAAATATTTTTCCCACCCTAAATAAAATCTTCTTATCTTCTCATACACTAAATTTTATAAAATAAATTTATATACATATATATATATATGTATATATATATATATATATATAAATTTATATATATTTATTAACTATAATAATATTACATTAATATAACCATATTTATTAATCGGTTTTAATGTTTCTTTATAAAGTATACAAAATTTCTTCTGAATTTTTCTTAAAAAATTTAAATTTTCTAAATTATTTTTTTATTTTTATGTATATTCTTGATAATTTGTCTTTTTTTTTTTATAATTTATATTATTAAATATATTATAGTGAAAAAAACGTCTATTATTTCGCAAATATTTCTTATAGGATCAAAAATAAAGATTAGTAAAGAAGCTTTTAGCATACTACCTAATCTATAATTAAAAGCATCTTTTATAACTGAAAATATTCCGTTTTCTTTATATTCATCTTTAAATTTTTGATTATCTATAGTAATAATAAATATAGATTAAATAGTAATATATTCATTTAAAGTAATAATAAAAGATATAATCCATAAATAAACAAAGGTTATATATAAATATCCTACATATTGAAAAAAATTAGGTTAAACTTATTAAAATGGTAAATGATTTTGAGTATCTGATTTAACTAATTTACTACATGTTAAAGCATACATAGAAATCATTACATAACCAAAAGATAATATCGAGAAAACTAAAAAACTTATAAAAGGCATAAATTAAAGGTATTTAAATTTCAAAATGACATTAGGCATTACCTATATTAAAAAAATATTTTTATTTATTTATTTTTTTAGTAAAAAAATTAATTACTTTCATAATATCTAATTAGTTATATATTTATCTTTTGAATATTATTTTATAGAGTGAATATAATAAATATAATATTATAAAAACTAAAAAAGTTATAATAAATGTAATATTCGTGTTTTAATTTTAAACAGATTTATTTAATAATTTTCCACTTTCTTAAACTTTCGAAATATCACTATTTTTTTTTTATTTTTTTATAAATAAAAAAATACATGTATTTTATTTTTTAATATAATAAAAAAGAATAATAAATAATTTTACGGTTCTTTTAGATTTTGTATTTTTTATAAATACAAAAATAATCCTGTTGCCATAGCAACTAATCCAATAGTACTAAATAAACTGAAAAAATAAAGAGTAATTTTAGGAAAGAATTTAATAAAATATAAAATTGAATATCTATTATAAATAATGAATTAAAAATAACTATATATATATTACACTAATATAATTGCCAAAAATGCATAGATTATTAAAAATAAATAACTCGATTTAATATCATTTATAAATAATTCAAAAGAACTAATTTAAAAAGCACTTTAAACCAAATAAAAATAATTAGTATTAGTAGGCATACATATTCTATTAAAAACTAAAAAAATAAATAAAAAAATAATAAATAATATTATAAAAAAAATATATTTTACATAATACACTATCATATATTAGGACTTACTTTGTTTAGTCATAATTTATATTTAATTAACAAGAAGTTACGACTGTATTAGGAAAACAATCAAGTTTATCACGAGGTTTTGGTTAGTATTTTATTTCAGGGCATGTTTTTACACAAACTGTTCTATACAAATATTTCTCATCTGGGGTTGTAAAATATATATAAGGATATTCTTATAGTTAACCATTTCCACATTATTAACCTGAAGCATCAAAAGGCTTTGAAATTCTGTTTGGATTACCTTTTTTAACAAAATAAATGGACGGGATTAAAATTATGATTAAAGCTGTAAAAAAAATATATTTCCATTTTATATCTTTTGGGTTTTCAAATTTATATTCGAAATTTCGTTCTCCTCTATATTTAAATTTACATTCATGTTTTTAAAAGTCAACTAATTCTGATTAACTTATCATTTTTATTTTAATAGTTAATATGTTTTTGTTTAAATATAATTAAATTTATTTAATTAATTATTTTGAAAATTTTTATTATATTTATAACTTTATTTTATTTTATTTTTTTTAAAAAAAAAAAGTTGTAAAAATATGTATAAATTAATTAATAATATATAAAAAGTTAATGTTTTATTTTCAAATAAAAGTATTTATATTTAAAACATTATAAAAGAAAAATCAATTTTAATTATTATAAATATTTAATAAGTTAATTATATTATGGACAATTTATTAATCTTTTTGAGATAAAAATGTACAATTATTAATAACCAAAAATTATTCATCAATAAACTAAAAATTTTCCAAAACAGAAAAAAACTTTATTAAGCTTTCTTAACTTCCATATTAATGTTTTACAATATCCAAAAGAAAATTTTAAAAAAAAGATATAATCTTATCCTTTGAGGGCACTTTTTATTCATTAGAATTATTTAATATATTCTGACTAATTTTTAATATAAATCCTTATTCCATTTTATGCCAATAAGCTTCATATTAATCTTAAAGCATATCCAATAAAGATTGAAATTCTTATAAATCTTTTATAATTTAAAATTAATAAGAATCACACTAAAAAACTATTCCATTCTAAATACCATAATCATTAAATCTTTAACTCAAACTAACATCTATTAAATTATTGTCTTATTTAGGAAATTAAATATTTATCAATTCAAAATTAGCAGGTGTAAATACATCTATTTAAAACTATTATTTTATAACTTCTGCAAGAGACATCATTCTAGCCACATCACCGTGTACTAAAAGTACGTTTTTAGCTTCACAATGTCTTATATAAAAAATATATATGAATAAATATAAATATAAATATAAATATAAATATAAATATAAATATAAATATAATATATAATATATAAATATATATATATACATATTTAATATTTATATATATATTCTTTTAATTTTTAAATATTTTATTTAATAAAATTAAAATCTAATTAATTATTATTTTTTTTCTTAATAAATTAGAATATTATAATAAAATATTCTTACAAGTATTATTTATTAATATTATTTTAATATATATAATTTATAATTTTTTACTTTATTAATCCTAAAATACCCTTAGCATCTGCATGAGCAGAAAAACTCATATTTTTAACTTTCATATTAACATCGTAAGTTTTTTTATCTAATATAACTTATTTACATCCACTCAATAATTTATTTCCTTTAAATATAAAAAAATAATAATAAATAAAAAACATTTAATTAATTTATGCCTAAAGTTCCTGCTACACAATATCCTGGAATAATAAGAGTATTCTTTGAATCATAACACCATTCTTTAAAAACCTACATTGAAAGTCCCGCATGAAGCATTCCTGGTGTTGCAAATAATACCATAGGCATATTTGCCTTAATAAGAGATTTCTGAAACGGTTTAATGTGTTTAAAATTGAACATATTATCAATTAAATAGCAACTTTTTATCTTCTCATTTGTCCAGTTTACAAATAATTTATAATAAAAATTAGCTTTCTCAATCATACCAGCAGCAAAATATACAGGTGCCTAATTCTATGTTCTTTGCCAGTATGTTTCTAATAAAACACATAATTCTTAGGCCCTTCCAAGTGCAAAAACAGGAATTAATACTTTCCCTCCTTAATCTATCGTTTCTTATACTTATTATAAAAAAGTCCTTTCTCGGGCCCTTTTAGATTCTCTAACAATAGTTCCGTATGTACATTCAGATATCAACAGATCAGGATTTATTTTATCTATCCAAGCCGCACCTAAATGTCTATCTGCATTAGAATGAAAATCTCCTGTGTAAACAACTTTTATTCCTTTATATTCTATTAAAAACATACACGCGCCTAATACATGTCCTATTTATATATTTTTATTTTTAATATAATATACATATGTATTATTTTAATATAAATACCAGCATAGTATGGCTTAATTTTTATACCATTTACATCTATAGTTTCTAATAATTATATTGTTTAAACTTTCTGGAAACTATTTTATATATTTTCTTAAGAATAAACAAAAGGCATTTTTTATAATTAATCATTATTATTATTATCATCTATCATATTTTCTTTTTTATATGTATCAGATATTACTTTTCTATAATCCTCACACATATAGGGAAATAAAGCTTTCGTAGGGGCTGTCATATATATAGGACCGTCATATTAATAAATTTCAGAAAAATAAGGTAAAGCGCCTATATGATCTAAATGAAAATGAGAAATTAAAACTAAGTCTATTATATCAGTATATTATGTATTAGCTGGAAAATTAAATTTTTATTTAATTTTTTCAAAATCAGGATATCTGGTTTAATCTGTCATACTCATATGTAAACCACAGTCTAGCATTATTAGTTTATCAAAAATTTTAATTATAATGCAACTTCGACCGACTTCTTGCCCAGCTCCTAAAGGATATACTTATAAAATATTTTCATTATTCATTTTAATTATTTTATATTATAAATAAAGAATTAATTTTTAGTTTATTATATTTTGTAAATTTGTAATAAATTAAGATATAAGTTAAAAAATATTAATTTTAATTGTTTCATATAAAATTTTTATTATTTGACAATTATAAAAAATGATGTGAAATATTAAACTTTTTATATCTAAAATTAAATAAATTATTATTATTATTATTATTATTATTATTATTATTATTATTTTTTTTATTATTATTATAATTATTATATTATTTTTTATTATTTTATTAAGTTGAAAGCTTATTTTCTTCTAAACTTTATTTTTTTATATTTCCACATAATGAAAATAATTAAAATATTTAACTTTAAAAAGAACTTCTCTAATTTATATTTTCTAATAAAATTTATTATTAATATTCCCATTATCGCTTTTTACTTTTAATATCATAAACAATATTTAATTAAACTATTTATTTATTTTCTTAAAAAAGTATATTATTTAACTCCATAATTAATCTATTTAATTATTATTATTTTTAATTAAACAATAAAAAATATACCTATTACTTATTTATTTAAATCCAATAGCGCATTATAAAATAGTTTCTCCATCATAAAAATTTGCTTTTTTAATAATATTAATAATCTCACTTTCATCTCTACTATTAAGTACATCTTTTTCAACTAGCTAAATAATTGCAAGAGAAATTTGAAATAAAATTTTCCAACCCAAAAGTAAAAATAAATCAATTACTCTTATAAAAAACTACCGCCCAAAATCATATGAAAACAAAGTATTAAACCACGGAATAGCAAATAATGCTGTTTTTATATTTTTTTATTGTAAAAAAGCATATAAACTATAAAAGTTTAATTTAATAAGATTATCTAATATATTAATAGCTTGTTCTAATCCATCGAAAAAGCAAAAACTAAGTCCATATTATTTTAACATTTATACAATTAAATAAAAAGCTTAGTTTTCATTTGTGAAAAATAAAAGACTCCCCACTATATAGTTCATTCCTTAACAATAAGGAATAATTATAGAACTTGCTTTCAAAACTTTATATAAAGAATTCTTTTTTTCTTTATTTTTATATTCTTTAGAGTTTGGAAATGTCCTATTTATATCTTTTTATATTTAATCTTCTGTTTAAAGAGTATAAAGAGGATTATTTAAATATTTTTCAAATGAAAAATGTTTTTATAATAATTAAGCTTTTGAAATAAATAACCAATAATTAGCCCTTATAATATTTGGGAATTTCCCTTTTATTATTATTTATATAAAATGCTTTATTATTTTTTTCCTTATTATTTTTGATCGGAAAAAAGTATTAGTAGATGATAAATTCAAAAGCGATTTTATGTCTAAAAAAGATATTGTTTTTACAAAAACGGAAATGTTTTTTTCTAAAAAAAATACTGTGTTTGTCTTTGGAGGTTTTATTAAAACTTTATAACAACTTTATATTAAATTTTCATTTTCGGAAGTTTTAAATATGTTATCTTTTTCAGTTTTTATTAATGATAGGTTTTTTTAGAAAGAATAGTCGGTTAGAGATGATGATGATATACTTCCTTCTGTTTTATATTACTTTTTTTAGAAAAACTTAGCCTTTTATTGTAGTTTTTCTATTTAGTAATGGTTAAAATAACTTTGTTTTTAAATTTTTCTCATTTCTTAACCTTTTTGTTTTATTTTATTTTTGTTTTATTCTTTTATTTTTATATAATAGTACAATTTATGGAGTTTATTTTTTTATAATATTTTATTGGCCTTATTATTTTTTCGGTTTTGTTTATTTGGATTTCTTTTAAAATACTAATATGATTTTTTAATGAAATATTTTTCTTTAATTATGTATTAAAATGTATATTTTCTTTATTTTGGATTATTCTTTATTTATTTAAAAAAAAAAAATGTTGATTTAATTAAAAATTGTTTATTTTTTTTACTCTTTTTTACTAAATTGTTTTTTCATTTTTTTTTTTCTTTTCTTTTTTTTAATTAAATTTAATAATTTATTTGTAAATTTTATAATTTTTTATCTAAATTTAAATTAAAAAAAATAAAATTCAAATTTATAACAGAAATTTTTAATATTGTAAAAAATTAAAATCCAAAATTTTTATTATCATGATAAAAGAAATTAAAAATTTAATATATCATTATTTTATTGAAAATAAAAAAATAGATTTTTTTTTTTTTTTTAAATAAATTAATAATATCATATAATAATAAGTAAAAATCATGTATTTTAAATAAAATTATTATTTTTCGTCAAGCAAACTTCCCCAATAATAAAAATATCAATTAAATATATCCCAAATAAAAATGTTAGAATTATTCGAATCTCTTTAGGGAGATATATCAACTAAAATAAAATAATAAAAAATTGTTAAAAAAATAGATTAAAGTTATTTATATACATATATATATTTATATATATATATTTTTTATATATATATTTTTTTATATATAAATATATATATATATATATATATTTATATATTCATATTCATAAATATATATATAATTATAAGAGTTAATATTTATAATAATTTTGAATTAATGAAATTTTAAATAATTTTTAAACATCATTATAATTATAAATAAAAAAGCATTTTGCATTCAAATAGTAAATAGTAAATCAATATTAAATAATATAATTTTTTATGTAATCCTGCTTATATATTGTAAATATTTGGAATAAATCAATTATGTTTAATATAACTTTTTTCTTATTTAAATACAATTCTATTAAATATATAATTATTTAAATAGTAATTTTGTCAAATTTATATTCTTTTAATAAACATAATTTTATTGCTATTTTATAGATTTAATATAAATAACGAATATAGGAAATACTTTGTTTTTTTAATATGGTTTATTTTTATTGCTTTTAGTATTTTATTTTTATCCTTTTTTTTTCCACCCATCGTTGATTTATATATATATTTCTTTATTGGTTTATAATTTTTAATTTAATTATATTTTTTTATTCTTTTTGATTTTTTTTTTCCTTTTATTTATTTATTTTATTTTTTTGTTATTAATATCAAGCCATAAGTAAATATTATAAAATATTCTATTTTTTAAGTACCATATTGAAAAAATTAAGAAGGATAAATTTATTATAACTGTAGTATACTTTAAGAAGTTTTCTGTTTGAATTTGAAAAGTTGAAACAAAAACGTGGTTAAAGTGTTAGTATTAGAAACATTTTAAAATATTTCTTATTTATATTATTGTATATTATTATAGATATCATAAATAATATATATATATGAAAAAGATAATTTATTTTGATTTAAAATTAATATTATTTTATTTATATAAATGTGAATAATGGATAAAAAAATATTAATTTTTTAATTTATATAATAACTTTAAAAAAAAAAAAAAAAATTATTCATTAATAAATTAGATAATAAAATAATTTTTTTTTTTTTTTATTCTCATTCATACTTTACTTCAAATTTTATTTAAAAATATAATTATTATAAAGCATTTTATAATTAAGTTTTTTATAATTTTTTAAAAAAATATTATTAAATTTAATAATATGAGTTATTATATTTTTTATAATCAAAGCAAATAAATATATATTATAAATTACGATTTTTGGGATATCGATATTTTCATAAATTTAATAAATAAAAAATCAGAGAAAGTATATTTTTTTAAAAAACCAAATAAAAAAACAATAAAAAAAAACTAAAATATAAAAAATGTTTTAACCAAGTAAAATACCATTTTGGAATAAAGTTGAAATATGGGAATTAAATTAAGCACCTTCCTAAAGCACAAACAAATAATAAAGTAGACAATAAACAAGCGAAAACCATGAAAATATAAAAGATTTATAAAATTAATGTTAGATATAAATGTGTACAATATTGGATTAAATATACATTTTAATTCAGGATGAATAAAATTACCTTTATTAATACGACACTAGTATTATTTTATATATAAAAAAAAAATATGATTAAAAAATATAAAAAAACAAATAAAATATTAATAAGAATTATATTAACTGCAAATTAAATTTTTAAAATTTAATGAAAAAAAAAAAAAAAAAGAGTAATATTATAAAGGATATTAATTAAAAAAATTGTGTTTTTAACAATGAATTATAAAAATTAAAAATGTTACATATATATAAATATATATATATAATATAAATAATAAAAATATATTTAAACATATGTATATATATATAAATATATAAAAATATGTAAATTTCAATATAAATATACATAAATATTATTTTATATATTCTATTTTTATATTCATTTATATTTTTTATAAATAAATAAAGCTTTAAATAATTTAAAGTTTCTTACTTAAATAGATGAAAAATTTAAACTTAAAAAGATGCTAAGTGATAATTAAAAATATTTATATTTCTTCAGTTTAAATTGCTAAGAAAGTTATTTTTCAAACTACCGTTATACATTATATAAATTTGATCCATGTAAAAAAACATTTTTTAACAAAAGAATAATGAATTTTCATATTAATAAAAATATTTAAAGAAAATGAATTATTTAATGAAGTAATATCTGGTGGAATTTCTCCAAAAGAAAGAAAAAGTTTAAACAGCTATTTTTATGATAATAAAATATTCGTATTCGGTTCACATTAAACATTTGAACATAATCCATCTTTATATAACACTTAAATATGTATTTTCGATCTTATATAAGAAGAATGGTAAACTAAAGAGATTACATAAGAACTTTTTACAAAAGAATTTAAATTTATTTCCGATGAATAATATTTCTTTGATAATAATAACAACGAATTAATTTATTTTTGTTCTTTTTCGAATTAATTATAGATTATATAAAGAAATATGAATACTTTCTAATGTGAAAAATACATTATTCCATTTATGTATAATAGTACAAATTCTTATATATTTAAATACAAAAACGAACTTTTCATATACGATATATAAACTCTTTTAAAAATTCAAAATATAACAAAAAAATATAATTAATAAGCACAAATAAAGTTAAATTAAGGAATTATATTAAGCGAGAATAAACAAAGCTAAATGAGGTTGAAAGGATTTTTGATTATATAAGGTTTCTTTTATTCTTTAATATAAATTAAAAATAAAGTAATTCTTTAGTATATAAATATGAACGAATTAGTAGAAATTCCAGACGAAAAATAAGAATAGTAGCCTTTATAATTAATAGAATATTTAAACCATCCTCTATATAGTGATTTGAGGTTTAAATTTTAAAACAATGACCTTTTTTGTTCAAAATAATTACTTTCTATATATAGTAAATAATTTCGAAAATTACTTTCAGATAGTGAAATTAATATAGTTAAAATTACTGATGTTAGTTTTTAGGTTTTTCATTTACTTATTTAATAATTTTATTATTAATTCACAAATGATGTTAATGAATATGATTATAATACTGTTTTTGATTTATTTGTTTTAGCAAATAAATTCGCTATTTCTATTTTGTAAGAAAAATGTGAAAATGTTATCATAGTTGATGAAAACAACTTTAGATAAATTGTTTAATTAATTAAAAATATTAATACTTTTTATTTAAAAGACAAGTAATTTTATTATATTTTTTATTTTTTTGTTTTTGTTTTGTTTATAGATGCATAGAATTTTTTAAAAAAAATAAATAAATACTTAATTAAGAAAATAGTAAGCATTTTGATAAATAAGAACTTATTATATTAATTAATTGGTTAAGTTAAAAATAATAGTTTACATAAAAATACTATAAAAATAGAAAGTGAATTAAAAAGTACTTATTAAATTTAATAAGAAATTTCAGAAAACTTTACTAAATCTAAAAATAATTCTAATGATATATAAATGATATAAAAATAACTATTGGTTAATGCCCCTGAAAAAATTACATCTAGTAATGAAACTTATTCTAAATTTAAAAACTTTAAAGGTTATTTATATAAATGATTATATATATTGAAATCAAAACAAATGTTATTTAGGTATAATTTAAGAAGGATAAATTAATCTTAAAATATGTTTAAATTGTAAATAAATTTTAAATTTTAATTGATTAAAAAAATAAAAAATATTTAAATAAATTTAATAATAATATATATAAAAAATTATATTTTTAATTTTAAATATTATAAGAAAAAAAGAAAAAAAATTATATAATAAATAAAAATCTTTTTTTCCAGAATAATAAAAATAAAAATGAACTTTTAAAATCTTATTATAAATATAATTCTATATATTTTCTACGCAATAACTTTAACATTATTAACATTAATATTATAAATTAACTCAAAAAGATTAAAAAAAATATATAAAATTGACATTACGATATAATTTATGATAATTTATGTATTAAATTTTATAATTTGTTATTATTTATTTGAAGAAATATAAATATTCATTAGAATTAGCATCTCAATAGTATTAATATTTGTATCAATATATATAGGATCCAAAATAAATATAATAGGATTAACAGGTAAAAATATATTTAAATTAATATAAATTATATAAATATTTTTCTTTTACATTATGTAATATAATTATTTTAACTAAATAAAAAAAGAAATAAATAAATAATAAAAAAATTTAATATATAAATATTTATATATATATATATTAATTATTTTATATATATATTTAAAATTTATTAAAATTTAAACATATTAATTAAAGGAGGAATAGCTTGTGGAAAAAGTTGGGCATGTGAATATTTTTAGCATAATTTAGGAATAGAAATAATCGATTGTGATAAATTAAGCCGTCGTATATATATAAAATAATAACCTGCATATTAAAAATTACTTAAATATTTTGGAGATTAAATTTTAGATGAAAATAAAGAAATAGATCGCAAAAAATTAGGAAAATTGTTTTTTAAGATAAAAAGACCTCAAATATTTAACAAAATTGGCAGGATATTATATAATGTTAGAAATTCTAAAAGAAATATATATATTATGTATTAAATAAAAAGAACAAATAATATTATTAGACGCTCCTTTATTATATGAATCTAAATATTTATAATATTTATGTTTTCCTATAATTGTAGTTTATGTTTCTTAAGAAAGAACTTAAATAAATCGAATGGTTACAAGAGATAAAATAAGTGAAGAAGAAGCTATACAAAAAATAAAATCATAAATGCCTCTTTTATAAAAAATTTAAAAAGGAGATATTTTGTTGCCTAATGATGGTACAAAAATGGAATTGCATTTAAATATAAAAAAAAAAATTCCTGAATTTATTTATTGATAAAAATAAAAATAAATATATATATATAAATATATATATATATATTTATATATTTATATATATATATTTATTTATTTATTTTTATATGTTTTTATATATGTATTTATATATTTTTTATATAAATTACTATAAACAAATATTTTAAATTATATAAAATTTGTATTATGTTTTTTTTATTATTTTATTTTTTAAAAGTTGGTTATTTTATTTCTAATGAATAATAAATTTTGGAATATATTAATTCAGGTTATGTATTTATTGATTCTAATATTCCTTATACAAATAAATTAAACCGTTCTGCTTATTTTGATAGATATTCTTCTTTAAATTCTGAATAATTGAAATTATTAGACGCTTCTTTTACTAATTATACATAAATAGACATTAAATAAATTGATTAATAATTAACTATAGCAGATTATTAATCTATTATGACTTTTTTTTATGAAAAAAACGAATTTATAATCAGTAATTTGTATAAATTTGATAAAATATAAAATTCGTATCAAACAGTAGAACTTTTAATAAATCCAATTTGTTTAAATAATCAAACAATAATTTGTTTGGAAAATAATAACCAAACATAATAAATATATAGTGGAAGTGATGTAAAAATAGCCTTTAAAACTAATACTTATATCATAAGATGTGGAATAGATTGGGAAATACTAATAAATTGTGGAAGTTTTATAGAAATACATAGACCTTCTGACCCTTTTATCATCGAATAAATTAAAATATAAGTAATAGAGACTTTTAATAAATATGTTTTATATTATTTTAACACTAAAAAATTATGTGCTGGAAAATATGAATTATGGTATGTTGTAAGAACTAGATTAGGAGTTATTTTATAATATACAAAACCTTTTTTTGTATTATATCCTTCATGTGATAATACTTTTGAAATTTTTTTAAAACAATGAAAAATAAAATTATATATTTATTAAATATAATATATATATATATATATATATAAATATATAAATATATAAATATATATAATTTTTTATTTAAATATTAAAATAATATAAATTTATTAAATATTTTATTATTTATATTTAATTTTTTTTTTTTTTTTAAATGTAAAATTAACATTCTAATTTTTTATTAGATGTAGAAAATGTCCTTACACCTTAATAAAATTAGGATTTCTTAGAATTAGAATCTAATCTATTGTATTTAGTTTAATATTCACATATTGAAGATCCCAAAATATGGTATTGTTCGGAAAAAATGGTTAAAATATTATTAAATGTAAGCAAAAATCTTCTTATTTAGAAATAATTTGAATTATGTGAGGCTTATTTATTAAAAGCCAAGTAATTAACAGAGCCTAAATAATAAATAAATTAAAATAAAAACTTATTATGGAATAAATACATAGAATTTAATGACTTAAGGGTATAATTGGGAATAAATATGAGCTTATTATACCAAAATTTAAACAAATATGATATATCTAGTAAAATATAAGAAGAAATAGAAGAAAATTTAAGTTAAGAATACAAAAACAATCTTTATAAAGGAGAAAATTTAGCATTTTTTTATAATTTAAAAGCTTAAAACTATGAAAAATAAAAAAAATTTGAAGAAATGAAAAAATATGCAATAAAATCATTATCGATTATCGAAGAAATTTTAGCGCAAGAAAAAAAAATGAAAAAGATTTGATAATAATGAAAGGCAAAAATTTATTTTTATTAGGAAAATTTGAAAAAAAAAAAGGTAAATTATAATAAGCAATAAAATTTTATGAAAAAAGCTTAATTATAACAAATTCAATTATAGGAGAAGAAAATAATTTAAGTATAAAATATAAATATAAACTAATAAAATTATAATAATACTTATCATTTTAAAATAATTATAATTTAAAAAACATTTAAGATGATTTTATTCATTACAAATAAAATATAAATAACTAATAAAAAAATATAATAAATAATAAAAATAATAATATTAATAATATTAATAATAATAATAATATAATAATAATAATAATGATAATAATAATAATAATTATAAAATTAATAAAAATAATTAAAATATTAAAAATAATAAAATTAATAATTTTTAAAAAAATATGTATATTTCTTCGTTTAATGATTTTTTAAGTCATAGAAAAGACTCTACTCATTATTTCCATCCTAATTTTTTAGAAAAAATAAAAGTTAATTTTTAAAAAAATATAAATAATTAATAAAATAACAATAATAATAATATTAATAATATTCATAAATTTCGTAATAGAAAATATAAAATCTTTAATCTTTTTTTTAATGAAAAACCTATTTTATTAGTAAAAGATAAAAGTCAAATTATATCAGAAAAAAAAAATTAAAATCTCGATAAAACAATTTTTAATTCTACTTTAAAAACATTTAATTATAATACTTAAAAAACTTCTAATATAAAAATTCTTATAAATAACAGTATTAAATAACCTTATTAACCAAAATCATTAAATACCCCTAAAAAAAAAATTATAATATAAGCAACATCTTCTACTACTAAAGGAAGCTCTTCTTAAAATAGGTTTGATGCAAATTATTGTGAATCTTTATTAAAATCAAATAATAATACATGGAAAAACAATTAAAAAGCTATTTATTTTACTACTAATAAATAAACAGCTAGACGAGGAAATTCTTTTACCTAGTAAGTTAAAGAAATTATATAAGAAGATTAAAAGAAAAAAAAAAGTCTTTTATTTTAATAAGAATAAAATCCATTTTTTTGTAAAAAAGATTAATTCTTTTTAATAGAAAATTTAATAAGTTCTCGTCCTATATAAAATATTGTATAAAAGAAATAAGAAAATAATAAATATTAAAAATCTAAACCTTCCTAAATACCTATTTTTCAAGATATAAATGATTTTTAATTATTTAGGTTAAAAAGTATATCTGGATAATAAAATAATAAAAATAAATAAAACTTTAATGTCTTTAATAGCTTTCATGAAAGTGTAAATTTAAAAGAAATTGAATCTAACAAAATTTAGAAAAAAAACATAGAATTTTGCAAAAATATATAATTAATTAATTAAAATGAAAAAAAAATAAAAAAAAAATAATATGTTCAAAAAAAAAGCAACTTTTCATTAATGGCATAAAATGTAAAATTATAGATGAAAGAAAAATATATATATATATATATATATATATATATATACATATTTATTTATTTAATTTTTTTACATATTTATTATTTATTTTTAAAAAGTTACAATAATAATAAAAAGAATGTTCATATCCTACAAGTTTTATATAGATTGAAAATAATTGTAAAGAAAATTAAAGAATAATCTCTTAATAATCACCTTAATAACATTTTAAATAATCTTTAAATTTTGACTAACAAAAGAAAATCGTTGCAATTCGAATAATACAAGTTTGGATAAAACTATATTTGAAAAGAAAGCATTTTAATTAAACAAATAATTTTAATAATTAAATTAATATTGAAAATTTAGATTAATAAAAAAGATAAGAAATTATTTCTTAAAATTCCTCCAAAAAATCACCGTTTTCATCATTCAATATTTTTTCAAATAAATCTGATATAAATAATAATTCTTAATAATAATTATAATAATTAAATCATTTATAATAATCATAAAATTCTTAAATTTCAAAAAATGATTCTAAAAGTTAATCTCTAAATACTTAGAATATTGTTAAGAAAATTAGACGTAGTCTACTAGGAATTGATAATGCTAATACAAGAAATTCACACACTAACTTAAATTCTTCTCTAATAGACTTAAAATAGGAAAAACAAGATACTTTATGCGAAAATAATATAGAAAAAAGTGGCAAATTCATTCAGGAAAGTATAAAATAACTACATTTTTTACCTCTTACGTTTTATAAGTCTTATTTTAATTGCATTCCATGTAAATGGAAAGTCAAAAATATAGACGTTTCGATATAAATATATGATTTTTAGAGAAATAAATGTAATTGCATGCTTTAATTGAGGATTTATTTGTAGAGTTTTATAAATAATGTAAAAATAGAGAATCCTTTATTCCTTTAAATTCAAAAAGATTTACATTTGTAAGATTATTTAAATTAAATAAAAAATAAATATTCTTTAGCAAATTTTATTATTGAGGAATGGCTTATTTAAAATAATTTATTCGAATATAAATGCTTTTTTGGGGAAGAAATGGAATATTAGAAATAGATAATTTAAATTTTTTTAGATAAAAATACTAAGGAAATCCTTAACGAAAAAGAAGAAATAAAAATAAGAGAATTTGTTGAAAATTTAATGTTTTTTTTAAAAAAAATAACAATAATTAGAAAAAAAATTAATGGATTTAAATTAATTTTAAATCCTGTTATTGAAATTAAAAAAATAAATGAATTTACAGATAATTTAATGAAATTACGTATTCATAAAGTTTTATTATATCTAATATTATAATTATATATATATAATTTTTATTTAAATAAAAATATATTTTTTATATTAATATATTTATACAATTATATTTATATATATTATATCATATTAGATATAAAAAAATTTGCTCAAAAATATACTTATTTGTAAATTTAATATTTTCGATTTGGATATTTTACAAGAAATTTATAGATACAAAAATAAAAAATAATAAATAAAATAATTAAACTAAGAAGACGAGAAATAAGAAATTTTATAATAAATAAAAATTGATGAGTTTAAAATAAATTCTACACAAAAAGCTAAAAATACTAACTATCATGAATCCTTTATTTCTGAT